TATTATATAATTTCGTACAATTGGCGCAGATAAAGCAACATTGCATTTTTATACGGAATCAAGGTCAATGGCGATAAAAACAGTTAGAAAAATATATCAGCGTTTATTTTTACAAAGTGATACGTACGAAGATCAGAGTGCGAATAAAATAAATCTGCAGTACGTGAGAGATCTTAGAGACGATCTTATAGTAAAGTGGACCTGATTGTTGCAAACTTACCGCGTTCGTGCTCCGAAATCTCAGCGGACTCTTCCGATGCGCCTTTGTTGCCGGTTCTTTCGCTTTTAAGGAGCAACGTTTCTAACAAAGAGCCGGGAGCGCCGCTAGTTGATTCGAGAGAAGTCATGAGCATCGCATTTCCCGTTGGCCGGATGTGGCTTCATGGCGCATTACGCGCGATGAAATATTTGACGTTCCATTTACGGCACACCTTTATTTTACGGACGTACTCGTACCTTTTTCCTACCCTGTGTAATTACAATTTTCACGATTCGCCGCAAACGCGAAATTTTCAATCAGTTTACGTAAGTCCGCCAAGTCGTGAATGTATTAAGTAGAAGCTTCGACTTCCTCTTCGGTCTCCTTCTCACTTCCTTCCTCGTGTTTTCACGAAGGTATCCGCGTACATAAACACTCTCAGCTAATCTCTCGACAGACTAAGCAGTTATCTATCAGGTTTCTTCAGCGAAAAAATTATCACGATATCGAAGCGACGTAAGACGATGCTTTTACTCTGGGAAAAAAAGAGACAGCAACCCATTTTGGGACCCACAATTAGTAATCGAATTATTTGGATTGCTCGTAACACTAATCTTTTACGAATTTTTTCGCCGCGTAACTAAAAATCGCAATTAGCTATTCTATCTATATCCAAGATTTTAAACTAATCAATTCTCTCAATTAGTTCTGTCGATATTCAGTAACGCAAAGATAATTTTCACTTAAGAGGCACTAACCGAAATGTTAGGTTGCTTAACTACAAAAATACGGTCCAAATTTTTCTCATAGTAGAGTTGCGAACAATCCAAATAATTCAATTACTATCCGTATCGGTGCGCAGTTCACAAATAGTCGAAAATATACGCGTAGACAACATCTATACTGTTGTTGCGACACATACTATCATATGCCTCGGTGGTCGTATTGGTGAGACACCCGCCTAGTGTGTAGAAAGGTCCAGGTTCAAACCTTGGCTGAGGTAATCATTTTTGCAATAAATTTTCTGTGTTAAAAAATACAGTTTCGCCAGTCATGACCGATTAGAAGCTTAATCAATGTTAGTCATTCGCTGGCGTCAAATAATTCCTGATGTCTCTTTTTTCCCCAGAGTATCTATAGAGAGGATTGATGAAATATAGTATATAAGGAGTATTTGCCATAACCTTTATTCCAGCATTTTTCACGGTCGTGAGATTACATCGTTGAAAGATTACATAAATCGGAAGTATTCGGAATGATCATTATTCTATTTTTGTAGCAGAGCCATTCTTTCATTCTCACACCGGAATACATTTGTCGCGATTACTGTTCGATATTGAATCCGAATGAAATGCGTTAATTTGCTCGCACACATACTCGCCAATATGCACTTTTCGCAATTTGTGAAAGGATGTTTTGGTCGACTGCCAGTTGTTTACAAAACCAATAGCCGTTCCGAAAGCGGGGTAAAGTGCACTTAAGTGCATTCGCGATTGCCAAAGAGTAGAAAACAGTGAAAGGGAGCACCTAGAGTACATTTGCTTCTTTCTAAACATCGCCTACTAATGTTTGTGAGATTGGAATATATTTATTGAAATAGTTCAAAGTTTATTCGCTCGTAATATTCTCTTTCCTTCCTTCTTTAAAATAACTTTTTAACATACTTTGGTCATTAATTATGTTGAAATAATTGTATAACACTAAAATTATAACTTAATTGACTGAAGGAGAGTATGTCTAAAATTACCGGAAAGTAATTCCTCTATTCTTTACTTGTGCATCCTCGAAGTTCACTTGGTCAGAATTTATTGCTTTTTAGCGATTTATGGCTCAAAGATTAGGTCGGTACCTCGAAATTTTCATTCGGAAGAAATTGTTTCCGTCTTCTATCAACGAATATCGTGTATGGAAGATCGATACACCATTAAAGCAGAAGTGCCTCATAAACGACTTCGCAGAAGACGAGGTACTTAACTCCAAACTTGAAATGTAGTTTTCCGTGACGTGTCTCGCCTGCAAACGAGTCGGCTAAGTATCGCGGTGTTTTTCTTTTTCTTTAAGCACAAGCTATAATATTGGAAATACATCTCGATGTTTCCTCGCGTAAAGGCATATTTATAAGCGCGGTAATCTTTGGAAAATCTTACAAACTTACATGCAAATGTGCACGAGGTCACTTTTAATGATCTTGACGTATGCTGAAGAAATACAAAACTTGCAAGTGGGCTGCGTGGGAATTTCACAAATTCCTTTTTCCGCTCCTCCCGTGTCTGATTAACCGCGTCTTTACGTAATTTATAATACCGTGTGTTAAAAAATTAGATCGAGGTGCGATTTCTCGATCCTTCGCCGACGAATAATGACTATTTCTTCTGACGTATATTAAGTGCAACGTGCAAGGCACGCGGTTTGCACAGACCGCGGGAATCGCGTCGACATTGTCTGCTTTTATATATTTGCAATGTAAAGACAATGTCGCAATTAATTCCCACGTGGATGCGATCGCGCGGTCAAGATTCCGAGCTAATTTGCAAACCGCCGCGCGATGCGCCACACGGCCGCGGAAAATAAAGACGGTTCTCACGTGCCATTACGAAATTATCCAGCAGAATGACGCTGGGTGTAATAACGTTCGGCTTAGACGTTGCATAAGTGCATCCTGTAAAATCGCAAGTTCAGGCGCATGGCGTAACATTCTATTACAGCAAGTTCTTCATCTTGCATCTGATATTCCATAACGTGCGCTACGCGCACCGCGCACGCGCACACAAAATAGTTTCTCGGCTTCGCAGACGTGCTGGAGCCATATAAAATAAAAAGACGTCGTTTTGTGCACAATAAAGCGCACGCAGTCGACAGAAACTTGCCCGCACTGATGCACTGGCTCGTTGCACTAACGTTATCAGCGTATCACGACGCGTACTGAGCAGCATTATATTACAACGCGCGTGCACGTAACGTCTCGTCGCATACCATACAGTACGAGTAATAGTTTACAAGTTCGTCAAAATATCGTAATTTTGTGAAAATAAAATGGTGCTTTTCGATTGCGCTTTAGAGAAGTTTGGAAGTGAAGAAAGATTTAAAAATTACTCGAAACCTTGCTAAAAAGAAAATTGCATTATGTTATTTTGCTTTCAGTCGCAGAGTCAAGGTTTACTCTCAAGGCTCTCTCTCTCTTTCTCTCTCTCTCTCCCCCCCTCTCCCCTCCCTCCCCCCCCCCTCTCTCTCTCTCTCTCTCTGAGTCATCGATCTGGAATCATATCACGTAGTAATATTGTTATTGTATGAGATATCTAAAAATAGCGCCGAGCAAATTAAGTCATTAAATAATAATACTACTTCTTCGACGCATTTATATCTTTTTATATAGACACCTTTCGGACTCTGTTCTCAACTTGTCCGTAAAAAAGGATCTCCGAGATCAGTGACCAAGAACATATAAGTCGAAGATACATAATAAAATTATATTATGATTAACATACGCGATACACCGGCGGAATAAATCTCGTTTTTTCTTATTGCTTCATTATGAGGAAGCAAATCGATATGCGATGTTGAATAGAAGCAATATTTATGCAGCGCCAATAATTCCTCGTATATTTTTTTCAACTTTAACATATGTAGTGTATACGTGTGTTTATTTCATAATTTCCTCTCGCTTTTTTTTGTCAATGTAAGTACGATAAATAATCATTGACATTTTCAAAGCAACAATAGTTTGTTTATAACAGTTGCCATAAAAAATGTTTATTAGCAACTCTCTTAACTTGGTGTTTATCTGGCAACAATTTTATTAGCATGATATCTTTCACCATGCAACGCTGTAGAAATCTACCGTAGTGACAGTTATTTGGGAGCCCTGAATAATTATCTGACCACATGACTCCTGATAAAGTAGCTGAGTCACGTTTCCAATGATTGTCCGCGCGAACGTGACGTGCCAACGGAGACTTTTATTTCGCAGCCTCTGTAATTGCTCGGCTACGTCACTGAATTCGTAATGCACCAATTAACCATCGTTCGATGAGTAAACTTAATTTTCTTTTTGCCGATTTATGTGACGAAGTGAACAGTGTCGTTCGACTCCTTGCGAGATTTAGTCATTTCCGCTATTGCACGATATTATACAGAGTGTTATGTAATACCCGCCTCACGTCTTATTTACAGATAGAGCGGATTAGACTGACAGTGAGTTGAAAAGTCCCGTACCATTTTGCAATTTTCGCAATGGTTAAATCGCGCGGCAAAATGCGGCCGTCCCGCGATTGGCGTTGCTAGGCGCGCAGGGCAGTAGGCTAGGCTAAGACAGGGATTTTTAATAATTAATATCTCGTTAACTATTGCGAAAATTTAAATGGTAGAGGACTTTTCGACTTGGTCTAGTCCGCTCTATCCGCAAATAAAAGGTGAGGCAGGTATTACATAACACCCTGTATATCGAAAGCTGTATGCAATAATGAACTCGTTTCAACATTTAAAACAGAGTACGTAGTACAACGTAAAAGTCTAGATGAACTAAATAAAACTTTATTAACTCTTTATGTTTGTATCCTTTTATGTTTAACCTGTAAATAGAGGATATAATTGTTTACAGAAGTGTTTCTTTACATTATCAATACCATTGATAGCTTGACTTGCTAATAAATTAGTATAAGTTAGCTATTAGTTAAATTATTATTCCCGTCTACGAGAGTTTACTATTCTTGTTAAAGAGTGTCAGCTGTTGAAGAAAAACTGAATGATATTAGCTAAAAGTCGAGAGAGGCTCTTTTACTAACATATATGTGTACTTTTTCAGGACTCATGTTATCCAACATTAAAGAAGTACCATTTATAAAACTCGATGACATGATACTCGAGTTCGAACTGGACGATCCTAGCCCGGAATTTCAAGAAATCGCGAAGAAGGAATTAAGAGAGACTCCCGAGATTCAAAAAATGTCGATAGCACGTCTGCAGGAATTATTAAAAGGTAACGCGGGAAATACAAAAGATCTAATAAATTAACATAAAGATTATGAGATACGAAACGTATCTCGTACGATACAGTAAGATATACCGTTACGGACCCAGTTTTTGATCAGAACCCAATTCTTGATCAACTTATATAAGTAAGGTACAATAAATTGTTGTAAATGTCAATACGTTAAACGCATGCCAAATGGGCTTTAGTACTTAAATAGCCTTAATCCCAGTCTACAATAATTGATATAAGCGTTAAACCCTAAGAAATTGATCAATCACAATTGAAAATGAGAAGAATACTCGACTGTAATTGATCAATCTCTTAGGGCGTAGGACTGAAATCATCTATTGTAAACTGGGACTTATCTCTCTCGATCTTTGAATTGCTTGAATAACTTGTTATCACGATATCAAGGCGCTCAAAGGCGTCCAAGAAATATATTTGGAAATTTTTTAAAACTTCTCGAATATGTTTCGCCAAAACGTTTAAAACCCTCTTTATCCGACAGCCGAGAAGGATCTGAAAACCCCATTGGACCACGAGGCTTGGTTGATCAGGTTTCTGAGGCCGTGCAAGTACTATCCTGAGTCGTCGCTCACTCTCGTCAAGAACTATTACAACTTCAAGGTGAAACACGCGTCCGTGTACAATAATTTGAAGCCGAGCACTGCGAAGAATATCTTCGAGCATAACATCCTAACCGTGCTGCCTAATCGCGATCAGCACGGCAGACGCATGTTGTTAGTTGAGCTCGGCAAAAAGTGGAAGCATAATAAATGCAGTCTCGACGAGGTCTACAAAGGATGCGTGCTGTATTTAGAAGGTGCCATGATCGAGCCGATCACGCAGATCGCTGGCGGGGTCGTCATATTTGACTTGGACGGCCTCAGCCTCCAGCAAGCCTGGCAATTCACCCCACCATTTGCTAAGAGAATAGTCGATCTGCTTCAGGAGGCGATGCCTCTTAGAATCAAAAACATACACATCGTTAACCAGCCGTACGTATTTAACATGGTGTTCGCTCTGTTCAAACCGTTCCTGAACGAGAAATTGAAGAACAGGGTGAGTATTAAGGATCCTACTAACAAGGGGAGTACCAGGTAGTGGCCTCGCCGATTTTCTCCAACTTTATATGTGTCGTAGTATCAATCCCCAACTACTTCATGTGCACGTGATACGGTGAAGTAGTTGGGGATTGATACTACGACACATACAAGTTCGAGAAAATCGGTGAGGCCACTACCTGATACTCCCCTTGTAAGTAAAAGGTTAGCAATGCACTAGTAGTTTGCCAGCAAAAATCCAGCAGAATCTGTTCCTTTTCATAATACATTTAAGTAAAATACATTTAAGTGGCAACGAAATTGATAGATACTGCTGAGTTTTTGCAGTCTACTGTCACATTCTATCGGTAGATTCGATTTATGCCGACAAAATTTGTAGCAGACGCTTTGCAACAGATTTGGCTAGCTTGAAATATCAGTCGTTCTTTAAAAGAAATAGGATCTTAAATATATCTTGATTGTCAAAAATTCACAACTCACTTTGCTTAACAATTTTTATATCTTCCTTCACTTTTCTCTTCCGCCAGATAATCTTTCATGGCACCGACCGTAAATCATTGTATCAATATATACCACCGGCATATTTACCGTCGCAATTCGGTGGTACACAAGTATTGAAACAGTTATCCGGGCCCGAATGGTACTCATTGCTGATACAAGTCGACAAGGAATTCGACGGTAAGTCCAAAGGAAAACTTTATCAGTCATCATTTGTAAAGGTAACCCGAACGCAATTGAAATAAAGTTCTATTTTGAAGACGCGAATGTTCCATTAAAACTTTATGATAAAAAAGATCTTTTTTTCTGTTGCAGCAATCAATTCGTATGGCTATAAAAAGAAATAATTTCTCAGTCACTAAATTTAATCACAGTAAAAAGGTATTTAAAATAATTACGGAGAAACAATTACACAACGATTTTTCCGAGGAGAAATATTCTATTTAGCATCGATTACGACGATCGTGGACTATTGTTCACCCTTCGAAACACCCTATAACAAAGCCTTGCTCACGTTATAAATTTATTTAGTTCAATATTATGTAGTCTTTTAATTTTAATTTTTTTTTGTTTTCAGCAATTCAGTAAGACTACATAAAATAATGCAACAATGCAAAAAGAGCGACATAACCGTTAATATCGCAATAATTATGTCGCATTATTTTCGGACTTTTTTAAATCTTGATACGGCAAAATTGGCACCGTATCAATTAGATATCAGTGATCTCATTTCAGATTTGTATTTTTGATTTTTATCATAATTTCAATTACTCTGTTATCATGCGATAAATATATTATGCATTCCGTAAATTTTGTACATTGAATGACATATTCATATATAATTTATTTAAAGTGTATACATATGTTATATGTATATGTAGTTAGCTATTATTAAAATTTCTAAAACTATATATAAGTTATGTACTTAAATAGCATACGTTCGATACGTAGTTTTGGTGTAAAATTGTAATAAAGAAATCATTGCTATTGTGGGTTTGATATTCGTATAATTTTTTTATAATAAATATATTTAGTAAATTGTGGCGAGCGTGTCGCAGAGAAATGTGCGCTGCTTAGTAAATAAATGAACAAAAAGATCCGAGTTCAAATCTAGCCGCGAACACCGCTGGTTTTTTCAGACGCTACCTCTCAGAGGAAAGTGGCAACCACCGAGAGTATCCTGCCACACGTACGGGTCTTTAGGGGTATAGTCCTCCAGGTTGGAGGTTTTCTTCGGCAAAGCAATTCGTGGACAAACTTACGCGTGACGAAAAACGTGTACGAACACTGCTTTGTTATCAATCGAGAAAACATATTTCAAAGGAAATAATAAAGCTGAATAAGTTAGAGGTAAAATTATAGAAATTGTTAAGACAAAATCGAGAAACTTTCTACAATTTTGTACATAGTTTAGTACCGCATCGTAGCACAAGTATTGTATATAATTTAGCGTACTTTCAGTTATGTGTTCTCTCTCTCTCTCTCTCTCTCTCTCTCTCTCTCTCTCTCTCTCTCTCTCTCTCTCTCTCATTTTTTATTATACCATATATTATTTTACCGTATAGTATTAAAACAAAATTTTAACTTTAATCTACACATAATTCTTTATTTATTTAATTTTCTTTATTATTGTAATTGAAAGATTTTGGGGCGAAAAGGTAAATAATAAAAAGAATTTTTTTTAAATAATTTTATTCATAAATTACAGTTTTGCAACATTTTTCTGTCGGCCATTTATATAATATATTTACATCTTTAAATACAAACTCTATATCTACTAGATGAAGTCTACGTATCATTAGGTAACATACACTTTGTACCCTTTTTGCACAATTGCGACTTTCAGAATATCGTAACACTCTTGAGCTGCATCTTATCAGGTACCAGACCCCATTAATTTTAACACTCTTATTACAGCTTCAAGCATATAATTGATAATAGTCGACCATAATAGTCGTCAATGGTAAAACGTATTGACCCTTTCTGCAGCTATTGTTTATCAGTTTTGAATCCATATTGCAGTTCAGCTGAAGATACAAAATACAATTCTATTGATGTAGTTTAAATCGCGAATTTATATGTATATTAGTTTATATATGTTATATATATATGATTACCTAAAAAGGCAGGTTCGCAACAAAGCATATTCTGCCACAGCGTCACACCGTATTGTTCTTCTGCCATTTTTATTTCACCTCCATGCCTCTGGAGCAATGCCTTCTTATCTACAAAAGCCATTAAGGATTCCCAGTTTGTCCCATGAATGTGAATCCGACTGCGAACCTTCTCCTACATCACGTTATAACAATTTTATAAAAAGTTCTAAAATTGACCACACATTTATTGTCATGACAATTTATAAAAAGGAATCATAAGATAATAGATCGTACCTCCAAGAACGGTTTGAATATCGCGAATGCTATACTGAAGATACGGGACTGATTCACAATGTGAATACCTTTGAGGCGAGTGGGCATAGATTTCTGAATAAAGTCTACTAACATTTTCGCAAATGACGGTGTAAGATATGTGATGTGATTGAGTGACAAACCTCCGACGTCTAAAATAATATGCACACCCGCGATCTAAAAGTAAAATAAAGTTTCACATCTATTTGTTCTTACATCTATTTGTGAAGCACTCTAGAGATTTCCACAAGCCCAAGGAAAAATGCAAAGTCAAGATGACGTTAATTTGATGTAATATTGACCAAAATATGACATAAATTTGGTTAATATGACATCAAATTGACATCATCTTGACTTTTCATTTTCCTTGGGAATTTCTCTTTTAAATATTGTTTCTAATAAATACCGATCTATCAATTGAAGAAATATTTTCCGACGACAAACCTGAGTTCTGTATTCGAGAAATGCTAGGAACAGGATGAGTATCACGCCTTTGAAAAATTCATGAGTCGACACTTGCTTCGGATTCCAATGTTTTCCACCCTCGACTACTATAACTCTGCATCCCTCAAATGTACGAAGCGGCAGTGGATATATCACACCGGCGCAAATTGCAGTTTTATCTTTGGTGATGGTTAAATCTTTATACACGTTTGGATAGTTTAGGCGGTATTGAAAATATCGTTTTAGCTGTTGAATAAAATGTTCGAATGATTTATTGTTATTGTCTAACACTGTATTAAATGCAGAAAGCAATAGAACCGAGCGAGTGTATTTTGGGTTTAACCTCAACCTCGACCACTCTGGAAGTGATTCTTCCTATGCAAAAAGTCGAGGCGATTTATTATTTAGCACGCATTTCTAGTGTTTAATAAAAATTCAATATTAAATGTCATAGTAAGAAAGCTTTAAATTAATTTTTAAATATAAATGGGATATTAAGTCTTGTTATATAATTAACTAAAGATAATTTTTTCATCTGCAGATTTTTCTTTGCAGTTCAGTTTGCCTTTTATATTCAGTAGTTAATAATGCAAGAAGTAATTGGCTCAATAATCAGGAAGGTAATACAATGCAAAATTGGTCAGAGAATCTGTGCATCCGATTGTTTTAGGACTATATAATTCTGAATATTTAATTATTGCACAGTCAATTTTATATACACTAGAACCTACTAGAAGGATAGAGCTAAACATATTTTCAAAAAAAGAATATTCTTTTTTTTTTGTGAAGGTCGCGAATGGCCATTCTTAAAAGGTTCCAGTATGACATGAGCATACAAATTGCAATTTAAAACGAGATTAACTCGTGATATAAAAGATATTACACAATGTAACTTACTAGCGAGAAAGCACTTTTCGCATACCATTTGCATGGACGTAAAAATACTAGTAAGTAGTCTTCCACATCTCTCGGTACATTCAGATCAGGATTCTCTAAAAAATTAAACAAAAGAGATAATTTTATAAAAAAAATTATTTCCAATTCTGTAGCGTGTACAAGGTATTATATTGGGCGTATAATTTATGCAAACGAAATTAAAGGCAAAGCGGGTCAAGGATATATTAATGGTCCGTATTAAAAATATCCCACGTTTCTTTCATTGAGCATTAAACAAAGCAGTTTGCAACAATAATGGGTACAATTATCTAATACAGTTATCTTTAAGTACTTCTTTTTTGCCAAGGTGTACGTAAGCTTCTGATTAAAGGTCCAAAACTGATAACTATGCAGAATGTAACGCCAATACTCGTACGAGACTTACTTGGTTGCATTATAATAATCAAAGTTGTCGTAATTTCAACGGTGATTGCGCAAGAACAAATAGGCATCTAAAGTTTACCATATTTAAGGTAACGAAATTCAGTATAAAAATATTATGTTATTTTATTTTATTAGGATTTTTCTTAAGAATTTTTAATACCTTGTATTTTTAAGAGCCTTCAAGCCACATATGAATTTTTGTCATAAAATGACTCAAAAAGTCTCCTAAAATATTGGTCAGTTTACTCAAGTGATACTCTATAATTATATTCTGGTTATGTTAGTTATTATTATTAGTTATTAGTGTAAAATCGGCTGAAATATTTTACCACTTTAAGTAATGCTGATGATGATAATAGATGTATATTACTGAATTTAAAGTCTTTGAGAACAAAAACGGTTTATAGGTTTGACTTGTGGCAATGGTACTTTCGATCAGGATCACTTGAAGTACAATGTGGCAAAGTTTCAGCCAATTTTACCTAAATCCATTTTCCAAAAAAAGAAGTATTATCCTTGTATATTTTCCTTAAAAAGAAGTGCGGGAATGTTTGCTTGTGGCGAGATCACCTCATTATACGACTCGCTCGAAAGCATGACGCGTGATTTAATTAACGATATTACGATGCAGGCGCGAGCAACTTTCGTTTTTACTTGATTCGTATGAGCATGAGCTGAATTCATATGCCGTTTTCACCGTGTACTTTTACCATTGTTAAATTGACCGTTGACCGCGATAAAACATGAACAATAATTGCATACAAATTTCGTTTTTGCTCTAGCAACGTCATTTGATCTATTTATTGCTACACTTTGAACAGGAAGAAACTAATCACCACTTTTTCTTTACGTGTTAGATAACCCAGCGAGAAATGACTCGTTGGTCGATGTCGAAAGGATTTAGAATTAACATCGACATCGTCATGGGAATATAAAACATTAATTCATCACTGTTTTGTGAATTGGATGATTTTCTACGACATGCGTCTAATTGTGTAAGTACGTCTTGGTAGAATCGCATGTTTCATTAGTGGTTACGTAAAAAAAGAAAGTATTCCAGTAGTTATCACGCTTCCTTGAACGAATTAATTACCCTGGTAGAAATTGCCTTGTCGGCGCCGTGACACTGGTGAGCGCCGTGCAAGTTTGCCACGCCAAAATCTTATTTTCAAAACTAGAAAGATCCATATCAGGACCACATCAGGGCCATACTCACATCTGATATGGAAATGACGTAGCATTACTATATATGATTTTCTGTATTGGCGAAAAATCTATTAAGCTATTGAAAACTAATAGTGTTTAATAGATTTTTCTTCAATATTGGAATAGTTCAAAATATATTTGTTCATAAAGCACACAGAGAAAACTGTTTCTTTGGATTTAATTCAAATATTATATCCAAATAATAAATTCAGATACAATCAAATTTATTGAATTCATAAAAATCTCTGTCCCATATGTGCCATGTCAATAATTTACTGTAGTCCCACACGTTTGTACATGACACTTATTGGTATTATGCTAGCCACGATTTTGCCAAATTAACACAATGATAACTACATTTTTAGTTTTGCTACCAATTAAACTTTTGCTACCTGAAAGAAGCTCTTTCAATTCCTTGAAACCTTGGGCGACAACTTCCGGCGTTTCCCGCAACTCCTTCTTGGCTTTCTCGACAAAAAATTCACCGACTGCGTTCATTTCGACGCAAAGTTGGTGTTCACCAAACATTAACTTCGGAGCGTCCTTCTGCCAGATCTCGTATAATATTTGTTTGGTTTTTGGATCCAGCGAAGGTTTAATGTCTTTAAGAGACACGGATAATGCCATTGTATCTGACTGGATTGCAGCACGATGGATATCTGTGAGACAATTGTATCAACCGAATTATCGCCTATCGAAAATAAGTATAGAAAATCGAAACATGATATTTCGTTAACACACATACTATGTCAATTTCACAAGTTTTGTGAAGATAGGAGTAATTTTAACGAATGTTCACAAACGTGAGTTGAGACAGGAATGCCGATTTTATGCGCTCCGTTTCCCGTTAGTCGAGGCACTGTACATTCATCAGAATTTTACCATATGTATGTATCGCGAAAGTAGTTACACGCTTACGTAAACTAATACACACACACACACACACACACACACACACACGTGTGTGTGTGCATAAAGTAAATGTTGCAAGTAAAACAAGTTTTATGTACAATCAGCTGAAACGAAAAGCAGAATATAGCAGTGTGTGGGCGTTGAAGCTATGTGTTGCAAAACTGTTGAAATGAAAGAATGTTCGACGGATTGCCCAATTTTTTCTTTTCTGCTTAGGTATCGTTTTCGCATGGCCCATAATACTGATCAACCATGCATTAGTATAATATTAGTATAATATAATAGTTTTATTTTTCAACATAATTTAATTTTCCAAATCATTTTCTCGTTTATAATGTAAAATTTTATTTTATTTATAGAAGCAATAATTTTTTCAAGATACTACATTTCGTTCGGCATTTTAGCTTTTCAATGTCACACATTAACATTGAAAATGCAAATCACAAGTTATTATTAGTGGAAACCACTAACAATTAAGCTTTATCCACGTTTCAAGCACATTTTTTACTCCTAGATCTCACTTGAAAAGGACCTAAACCAAAGGTCGAAACGTTGTGAAGGCGTATTCAATAAATTTGGCCAGGTAAGGTCGATTAAAATCTGAAATGTTATTACTAACTTATCAAAATGGATGGATTTTCGCTCACTGTACGCGAAAATGTCTGCTATGAAAAACACGTATTCATTTTCCCCTCATCGCACTTATTCCTACCGCAAAATAAATTTACAAGATGCTTCATGATTTGACATTCTGATTTCCTTGAATAACTCAAGAAACTACATGCTCTCACTAATTAGCAAATGCAATTGTTTCACAGAACACAGGTATTTCTAGAAAAATATCTTCATTCAATATTTGGTTTCGTCGTTAGCAAATTTAGAATACCTTGACGTTAATACTGGTAAGCATAAAATTTAAAGAACTCCTTCCTACTTTGCTGTAAATTGTTGGCTATCGTATTATATAAATACATTACATATTCGTACAAAGTACACAACGTACAAAGTATACAACGATATTTTTCTAGAAATACCTGTGTTCTGTGAAACAATTGCATTTGCTGATTAGTGAGTCATGAATCATCTTGTAAATTTATTTTGCGGTAGGAATAAGTGCGATGAGGGGAAAATGAATACGATTTTGCAAGAAATAAAATAATTTTCCATGTTTTTCTTAATGAGAAAAACTTGCACGATATTGTTTTTTTCTTAAAGCGATGCGTCGCACGCTTCTACCAATAAAGTAATCATAAATACCACTTCCTCTATACTACTGGACTGCTAATTTCGAGCTGAAAAGTGAGACAAGAGTCCCGCCATATCTGGTTAGGTAAATAAAGTAGTAGTGACACACCGATGTGCACATGCTGCTTTATTTACCTAACGAGACATGGCGGAACTCTTGCCGCAGCTCAAAGGTAGTAATCTAGTAGTATATAGAAGTTTGTTGTTTTAACGCCACGGACAAAGTATAATAACAGTATTTATGTAACCGCATTAAATGACTAACCGTTAATGCTTTGATAATTGAATGGAACTGACAATATTTCTCTCTTTCCAACGTAACCATTAGTCACTATCGTAACACTAATATTGATGCATTGTATTATATGTATATGTATATTATGTTTTGGATTTTTTAATTTATATTATTATCTTTATCGTTTTTAATATTACAGAAAGTACAATATCATCAGATAATATTAGGTGTAGAAATTAATTGCCGGCCTTTTTTTAATAAGATCAATATTTAATTATAAGTAAACCAATTGCATTTCAATCTTCAAAATAATCGCCTTTTTATGGGTAGCTGGCAAATCCCGTCTCGGTAAAGTTTTAAATCAATGAATACTGTGGTGCTATTGTCGCCATCTTCTACCGAAGATTCTTCTGAAGTGCATATCAACATGGTAATGTTGACCGCAATAGATGGTAATCAAAAAGTCTGATGAATAAGCCGCGTGAGAGAGAACTTTCTAGTCCAAGTAACGCAGAACTTCATTGTTTTCGCAGTGTGCGGCCGTGCGTTGTCATGCAGTAGAGATCACCTTCCTTAGCCTCACTGGCAATAAATTATCGTTTTATACATGTTATACAGGGTGTCAGATTCGATATGGACGACCCCAAAGATTATAGTAGATTGGGTTAAACTGAGAAGAAAAGTTATATAAAATTTTACAAAATCGTAATTATTATCGGCCTAGTTCAGAAAAACGTCTGAGCCAATAAGTGCACGGAGGAGCGAAAGGCCGGACTCGGCAGCATGCAAAATGGTGTGTTTGTTGACATCTCTCAAAAAACGATAGCGAACGCGTTCGCCCGCTCACCGCTCCCCGCTCGCCACCGTCTCTCATCGATCGATGCGTGACTCCACCTCTCGCTATCGATTTTTCAGAGATGTCAACAAACACACC